GCAGGTGAGTTGGGGTTGGTTTTTTCTGGCCATTTGTTCCCAATGTGCTTAAATGGGGAATCGATGAATTGCATCTCAGCACTGAGGACTCCCTATGGAGTGTGCGATGATGCACATACTGGGAAGGGGGGGAAAACAACGGTATGGAGTCAGAATGGCCTGATCAGACTATCCCGATGCCATGAGAGCGCACTGGAGCGATCAGACAAGGGAAAGTCTGTCTGTGGCTCGTAGCAACCCGTTTGCTACCGGACTTTCCCTGGTGTCTGTTTACTCTGCTTCTGCAGCGGAGGAAAATGGGTTGCCGACGGGTGCGGGGCGCTTCCCAGATGTTTGTGTCTGATCACGCCCTTTAAATCCACCCGGCATTCGCGCCTATGGCGTGGCTAATTGTGCGTGTGATTGTGCCCTTCATTTACTTTGCAAACTTTATTCAAGCGGTATATCTGAGTTTAGAAGAATTTGCTCTTTTGGGCAAAAATTGGATGCCAATACATTTCTCATGGCCAGTGGGAAAAGGCCTGGGATGCTGGTAGGTGGAGCAGAATTCAGGATCCTGAGAAATATACAGCCCTGATCCTATACATGCTCACTCAGAAGCAAGTCTCCCCCAAGTTCAAAAGCACTTGTTCCCAAAAAACAGCACACTGGACCCCAGTCAGAGTTCCACTTTTTTGTGGGTTTTTTTTTTTTAGTTCCTATGCCTTAACGCCATGGCCAGACTGGAGAAATCCCTGCATCCACAGCATGCAGTCTCTCAGATGTTGACAGGATACAAGAAAAGTGTAGACAGGACAGAAGGCAAAGGTTCCACCACACAATTCATAATTAACTTGTGGGATTTACTACCACAGGAGGACACCGTGATGACCATTAGCTCAGATGGCTTTAAAGGGGGTTAGATAAATTCACGGAGGACAAATTCATCAAAAGGCACGATGGCTAAAGGGAATCTCCATGTTCAGAAGTGGTGTACCCTTTGAATACCAGTAGCTGATGGACAGCGAACAGGGAAGAATCTTGCCCTCATGCAGGGCTATTTTTGGGCAGGAACGCACAGGAACGGAGTTCCGGCTGGCTCCCAAGTTGGCCACACTCAGCAAAAACTCATTAGCATAATAGGCCACACCCAACAGCAGAAACTCATTAGGACTGGTTACATTAGGGGTGTGTGGCCTAACATGCAACGGAGTTCCTGCTACAAAAAAAGCCCTGGGCTTTGGCAACAAACAAGGTATACAGAATAAGAAGCAAAAGGTGGGTGTGGCTGGATGAGGACACTTCTGGTAACATGGGGGTGTGGCCTAATATGCCAATGAGCTGTGCTGTCAGGGGTGTGGCCTAATATGTTAATGAGTTTCTGCTGTTGGGTGTGGCCTATTATGCTAATGAGTTCCTGCTGGGCTTTTTCCACAAAAAAAGCCCTGGGGTTAACCATAGTAGGAATCAGGAACACTGGTCCCCAAAGTGGGCAATACCACCCCGAGGGTGCTGGAACGATCCAGGTGGGCGGTCGGAGCCTTGGGTGCAATTGCGGGGCGTTGAATACAAATAAGGGGGCGGTGGAAGCATAAAGAAAGAAGAGTCCAGAACCTATCTAAAGCAGCCTTTTGGCAGTAGGCCAAATAAGTTTGGGATCCTATGGACTAGACGGATCTTTGACCAGATAAAGATCAGAGGAGGATTCAGTGCGCCGCATTTCTTGCACCATGGCTAGCAGAAGGAATGATAGGCTATGCAAAATACATGCAAATTGATACAATTGATTCTGACTGCAAAATTTTCACTTTGCTTGGCACAGATTGTCTGCAGACTTGGCCCAATACAGATCTATCCTTAGGCTCATATCAGCTGTGATACTGCTTCCGTTTTGCCAACTGAGTTACAGTGCACAGATTCTACCTATTTACCTTTTCACCTTTTGATCCAGGTGGTCCGATCGGCCCAGGTGAGCCTGCATGCCCCTGTGGGAGAAAAAGGAAGAAAGTGTCTAAGGGGCTGGCTGGCAGTTCCATGATAAGCATCCTGAGATGGGGCTGATTCGGGGAGGGGGGAGCATTGGGACTTTCAGGTGCCAATGCACTGGCCATATAGGAAAGGTCTGCTGGAGGAAGGCTTTGGACTGGCACTTTTTCTGCTATGATGTCACTAACTAGGTGTGATGTCACTGATTAACAAGGGCAGTGCCCTGAGCTGGATAGCCCAGGCTAGCCCAATCTCATCAGATCTTGGACGGTAAGCAGGGTTGGCCTTGGCTAGTACTTGGATGGGCGACTGCCAAGGAATACTAGGGTCGTGACGCAGAGGTAGGCAATGACAAACTACCTCTGAAACGTCTCTTGCCTTAAAAACAAGTCTAGCTCGCCACCTAGTGGTGCATAACACTAAAAGAGCTAGAACTTCTGGCTGCCAGACAATCTTAGCATCTCCTAGCTATACTACACACACTGGAAGAGGAAACAAAAGAAGAAGGGGAACCAGCATACGTGTAAAAGTACAAAACACCAAAAACTGCTGGCTGGAATAAAAAAGTGTATAAAATAAACGTTTTAATACCAAGTTCAATCTCACAATAACCATATAACTAGATAAAGCCAAGATATTCTTTCAGGAAACAACAACAGTGCAAAGGGAACATGGGTCCCGAGCTCCTCCCTACAGCCGCAGGGTGCCCGGGCAAGCCAAGGGAAGGAATGGGGCTGTGGCCTAATATGCTAACCAGCTGCACTGTCAGGGTGTGGCCTAATATGCTAATGAGGTTGTCCCGAGGACGGGACTCCCAACCCCCTCCCGGCGGGAGGAACCAAAGACCCAGCACAAGAACGGGCAAAGAAGAAGGGCCCCGGAACACTCACCAGTGTGGCACCGAGGCTGGCAGGGAACGAGGGAAGCGGGCAGGAGAGGCAAGATGCCCGCCCTCCCACCCCGCCCTCAGAGACGGGCCGGGTCGGGCGGCGGGAAACGGCCTCCACCGGGGACGGGGGAGGACAGACGGCAAACTCCCCCTACCTCGGCGCTCGCTGGGCAGGGGCGGAGAAACAGGAGGGGGGAGGAACACGAGACGGTCCGCATCAACAGCCCGGCGCACGGGCACAGCCGCGCCGCCGAGCGCCGAAACCGGAAGCCACAGGGAAGGGAGAAGGGGGAGGTGTCTCGGGGAACGGCGTGAACGTTTATATAAGGGGGCGGGGCCAAGGTGGGTGGACAGCCGGGAAGGAGCAGGGGAGCACGTGAGGAGAAGTGGGGAGGATAAAAGGGAGAGGGACGGAGACGGCCAGGGATGACTCCTGACTGAGAGCGGTTGCGAGAGAGAGGGCCAAGCTACAGTCAGCAGGGACGGTTGTAAGGACTTGGTGAAGTAACCGACCTTCACGTCCAGGTGTCTGAGGCCCACCCTCTGGACCCAAAAAGGGGACAGTTGTCAGGGTGGCGGAGGTGGAAGGTCAACGGAGCACGAGTGAGGAAGAGGACGACGGGTCGTCGTCGGATTCGTGCGACAGAGGTTATGCTGTTGGGTGTGGCCTATTATGCTAATGAGTTCCTGCTGGGCTTTTTCTACCAAAAAAGCCCTGCTTGTGGGCATCCTGGGATCATCTGGTTGCCCACTGTGGGGAACAAGATGCTAGTCCAAGACAGCTAATGGTCCAAGTGGGCACCAGGAAGACACACCCAAAATCTGAACAGCTGGCCCATCTGGTGACCCTAAGTGCACAGGGATTCCAGAATGACAGTTTACCTGATAGCCCTTTAAGCCAGGCTCCCCTTGGACACCCATCCTGCCTGGGGCACCCTGGTGGAACAAGAGAACATCAAGTTTGTCTGTGCTCAGGTGAGTTCTTGTTTGGTCTTCCTACCAGTGTTTCTATCGACTACTTCCCCTCTCTCTTTGGTTATTTGGTATCTTCACAGCCTTTTGCTAGACTTTGCTATGAGGATTCTAGCCGGGCAACATCCTTCATACAGACAAGAATCTTGCTGTTGCTGCTATCTGCTTCTCAAGGCTGTTAGCCGTTCAAGGTTTGGACCCCTGGAGCTTTCAGTAATTTATAAGCTTGGCTTGAAAATAAACACAGAGCTATTCTACATCGTAGCAGGAAGGATTAAAGGGATCTGAGGCTGGCTGATACGGAAGGAAGGAGCCAACACGATTCTCACACCTTTTGAGTCCCACATGCTACAATTAAAGGAAAGGACGCAAAAGTCTGCTGCATCTTCTTGGACTTCCTCTTCAGGGACCCAGAGGTTTCTGAGCAGCAGGGGTTATGGGTGGCTGTGCATGGGCCAGGTGAGCGATGGCAGTGCTCTGCCCATCACAGAATTTAAATACACTGATTCTGAAACAAAAAGATTTTAACATCTGTTGTCGGCTACCTAAACACATGGCAATGCACTTCTCAAAGCAGGGCTGAAACAGGTATCCATTGTGACACGACTGCCAGAATAAACAAAAAAATTAAAGGGGGAGGGGCTCTGACCAGAGCAACTGCTTTAAGGGAAGTGGTTTTATAGCCTCTGTGCCCCCACCCCCAGTTTCCCCAATTCATGCTGAAAGATGGGCAGCTTGCACAGAGACAATTCTTTGCAAAACTCTCACTGTTGCTGTGCATGCCGAGGCATTTGAAGTGGCAACGGAGCATGCGCACAGACGCTTTCCTTGCGCTTTCCTTGCCTCAGTCCTGTGGGTGCAATTTCCCACCCCACCACTGGGGGAAGGGCTCCAGGCTTAAAATAATCACGACACCTACAGCATTACAGCTCTGCAATGTAATAATGATGTTTTGCAACTATGTACTCGTTCCCATCTTTGTAGCCTTTTTGGCCTGGTGGGACTCTCTGCCTTAATGACATCCAGGCCCTGTGGGACTTAATGCAGCTTCACAAGGCCTGTCAGCAATGCTCCCTCTAAGCTGCGGAGTCTTGTGAGCAAAAATTCTACTTTGTGAGCTACTGGCATTAAAGTTGTGAGTGAGCGATTCGGTTACTGCATAAATTAGCTTGTTCTGGAGCCATCCTTCTGGAGCTAAGACAAAAATGTGTGAGCCGGAGGCTAAAAAACTGTGAGCTAGCTCACACTAACTCAGCTTAGAGGGAACACTGCCTGTAAGACAGAGATGTTCCGCCAGGCCTACGGTCGAGGACAGCAAAGGTTAGCATCAAGCCTGGCCTCTTCCATCTCTCTTCTCCCTCGCAGGGAAAGGACATAAATTGTCCTTAAAACACCATTCTGAAATAGTTTTATTACTGTTTCAACTGTTTTTAACAGCTTTAATTTTGATTTATGGTTGATTCATAAATGTATGTATTGATATGTTGTACACAGCCCTGAGCCCTTGCACACGGGAGGGAGCCCTAAAATTCAAATAAGTAAAAATAAATAAGAAACATGCAGCTATTAACTTCTCCCTTATAACTCCACAACCCAAAGGACTAGAGCTTTGCTTCTTTTTAAAATGATAACTAGTAGACCTTATTGCAACAGACCTTTATAATATTATAATACTATAGTGTTATAAGAACCGGTGGTCCACCTAGTCTAGCACACTGTTTCACACAGCAGTCAAGCAGTTGCCTCTAGCCCTTTTGGCTGCAGAGTTTTAAGAAGAATGGTACAGAAGGAATAGCTATAGCAAATACCTTAAAAAAAAGCCCTTTAGTGTGTATATGGGGTGGAGGTGGACACCACAGAGACTGAGGTATGGAAAACAGTGCTGATGTGGTCAGTACCTGAAAAAACTGCCCCTTTCCACATAGCACCCAAAGGGGCTTTGACTGAGATTATTCCAAAAAGACTCTACCAATTCAGGTTTGGGAAAGAACAAAGTAAATCAGGGGAAAACACAGAACCAGAATGAATAGCAGACCATATCGTAGGATGCCCCTCAAAACAGCACTGTAATAAAGGAAGCAAAGGTACAAAACAGCTCTGATTTTTTCCCATTCCTGCAGGTGATACCTAAAGGCATATTTTAGGTATCTGTTTTCCCCTCTGCGGGATGGGAGATTTAGATTAGGGGGAAAGCCTGGGTAGAAACTGTTAAACATCTCCTCTCTCCCCTCACAGCTAGCATCGTTGCTCCAATTAAAATCCCCCCCATCTCCTTTTAAGTTAAAGCAAGACATTAGGAGAGCTGACAATGGATCTCCCACATCATGACCGCTTCAGCCCTGAATCCTTGCATGGCCCTCTCTAATGGTTAAATGCTTGCCAAATGAAATATGTCTTTCATTGTATTCAGAGGACACTCAGCTTGTGGCAGAAGCTCCAGAATGCGGGAGTGACCGCCACAAAACACCCTCCCTCCAGGATGCCGTGAGCCTCCCCACAAAAAGACACATCCTTCCCAATTCGATGTTGGAACACTGACCCAGACGTGCATTCAGAGCAGACGCTACGTTCTCACCATAGCTCCCAGGGTACCTCTGGATCCTTTTGGGCCTTGAGTCCCCACGGGTCCCATTTTCCCAGGTGGGCCAGTTTCTCCAAGTTGCCCCTGACTGCCTTTGCTGCCCTGAAAACAAGGATAAACATTAGTGTCGGGACACAAGGACTTCTTGCTGGTACCTGACCAGTGTTTGGGCTGTCATATATATATATAGCCTTTCTCCTTGAAATCCTAATTTTCCTGTGTGTAGGAATCTTTTTTTTAAATGGAGAGGAGGAGGAGGAGGAGGAGGAGGAGGAGATTGGATTTATACCCTTCACTTGGAGTTTCAGAGCGGCTCACAATCTCCTTCCCCTTCCCCTCCCCACAACAGACACCCTGTGAGGTAGGTGGGGCTGAGAGAGCTCTTTCGAGGACTGCCCTTGAAAGAACAGCTCTGAGAGAACTTGTGACTGACCCAAGGTCACACTAGCAGCTGCATGTGGAGGACTGGGGAGTCACAAACCCGGTTCTCTCAGATTAGAGTCCGTGCTCTTAGCCACTGCACCAAAAACTGGCTCTACTGGTAAATCCCTCTCCCAGAGTCCCAAGTGGCACAGCCCAAATACAGGTGGACCGCCTTAGAGAGGAACAATGCCAAGAGATAATACAAAAGGGTGGGTGGGGGGCAGAGATTGACACAAACAGCAACAGAACAGGAACAGCAGAAGCATCCCTACCTTAGGGCCGGTTTTGCCCTTTTCCCCTTGCCGGCCTGGTTTTCCTTCTGGTCCCTGAGAACACAGGGGAAATTTGTCATTATTATTCAGTATCCCTCAAACAGATCAGAGCCTTAGAAGCAAGATGAATTCACACTGGCCTTTGACCATGCAATAGTTTGGGTTGTATCCCACCTAAATCTAATTCTTCTCCTTACTGGAGTTCCTGTCCTACAAAGTTTTTCTTCCCGCAGGTCTGAACACCCCCAGCATAGCCATTTCGGGCCTTCCCCTTTTCAGGAGTGGAAAGCTGGTTAGAGCCAACCCTCTCTTTAATACTGAGATGGGCTTGGGCTGGTCACCCTGCATTACATGGCTCTCACATTGATTCCGGGTTCCTTTTTGTGAAATCTCAGTCTCGTCTTTAAAACCACAGGGTTTCCAGGAGGTCTCCCAACCTGGTGCTGACCAGATGCAAACCTGTTTAGTTTCAGCAGGTTATCTGGGTTGTGGCACTTTCAAAGCCTGCGGTTTTTCAGGGCTCAGCTCTCTCCCCCAGTCTCTAAATCTCAGAGGCATAATGACTTTACTGGACCTGTGCATATGTATATGCAGGGCTATTTTTGGGCAGGAACGCACAGGAACGGAGTTCCGGCTGGCTTCAGAGTTGGCCACGCCCACTGCAGCCAAAACCTCTGTGTGTGAGGCTACAGAGGGAAGGTCTGGTGAGCGACACCCCCCCCCCGGCGACTCTGAGGTGGGTGGGCCAGAGGGGACCCTGGAAGGATCGGGGAGGTGTTTAAATGCCTTCCCTTCCCTTCAAAGGGGAGCTTGCCCAGGCAAACTAAGGGAATGCATGGGGGTGTGTCCTAATATGCTAATGAGTTTCTGCTGTTGGGTGTGGCCTGTTATGCTAATGAGTTCCTGCTGGGCTTTTTCTACAAAAAGAGCCCTGTGTATATGCACATGAACACTAAGAACCCGTATGGTGCACAGCCTCTCAGTTCATCCTTTCCATCTAGGAAAGCTGATCTGCATCCAATGTTGTACAGTACAGTTCTGTTGTTCCAGTATATCTTTAACACCCCCCCAAGCCCAAACTGACTCCTGTTTTTTTTAATTCAGAGGAGGACAAGCTATTCCAGAGCGTGTGACTATAACAAAGCAGTGAAGGGCATTCGGCAGTGTGTAAGAATGATGAGGGCGGAGTTCACAGCAATAAGTGACCCCTCTCATGAGAACAGACAGGGGGGTTCCAAGCCAGAAACTTTAGGGGCTATGTGATTAGTACCAAATGTCCACAAACTCCCATTCCAAGCTTGCACACAGGACAGAGTGAGCTAATTGGTGCCAAGATCACCTGACTTCCGGCACTGACCCCTGGAGGAATGAATGACTGACCCCTGGATGTCTTCATTCATTACTTGCATGAAGCAAAGGTGAGGAAAGTGGGGGCTGCTAGGTATTTTCCCAGGGATATGAGATGACTCATCTCCATTTCAGCACTTGGAACACGGAAGCCAAGGGACTCTGTTTTATGCAGCCCGCTGGCTGCAGGCCATGAGATCGGTAGGACAGAACGGAACAGCTGCCGGAGCAGAGATGAAAGAATGAGATTATATAATTTTCTGCCAAAAAGGAGATGAAGTTTTCAGATCAGCAGGATTGTCTTTACCACTCCATCGTCCTATATTAAGTTTAGCTTCTGCTTGGTTGTCGCCCCCTCAAAATAAGTGACTTTAAAGCAGGCGGCATCGATAACATGGGAACCGGCAGGCTGATTCAATGCATCTCTCTCCCCGCCTTCTGATTTTGGGTCCAAAAGGCGCACCGTACAGCTTGGAGGTGGGAGCACATTATTCCTGTCCTGAAACAGCTCCACTGGTTACCTACTTGCTTCTGAGCCCAATTTAAGGTGCTGCGGTGGCTCAAGTGGTTATTGAGCCCAATTTAAGGTGCTGTATTCATCTTTAAAAGTAGAGACATCTTGATAAAAAGTAGAGACATCACCCTGCCAACAAAAGTCCGCATGGTCAAAGCAATGGTATTCCCAGTAGTCATGTATGGCTGCGAGAGCTGGACTATAAGGAAGGCCGAGCGCCGAAGAATAGATTCTTTTGAACTATGGTGCTGGAGAAGACTCTTGAGAGTCCCTTGGACTGCAAGAAGATCAAATCAGTGAATCCTCAAAGAAATCAACCCTGACTGTTCCCTGGAAGGCCAGATAATGAAACTGAAGCTCAAATACTTTGGCCACCAAATGAGAAGGGAGCACTCACTGGAGAAGACCCTGATGCTGGGAATGATTGAAGGTCAAAGAAGACGGGGACGGCGAAGGATGAGATGGTTAGACAGTGTCATCGATGCAACGAACATGAAATTGAGCCAACTTCAGAGGACGGCGGAAGACAGGAGGGCCTGGCGGGAGCTGGTCCATGGGGTCGCGAAGCGTTGGACTCGACTGTGCGACTGAACAACAACAATTCATCTTTAAAGCCCAATACAACCTGGGACCTAGGGCTGCCAGCCAGTGTTCCCTCTAAGCTGAGTTAGTGTGAGCTAGCTCACAGTTTTTTAGCCTCTGGCTCACACATTTTTGTCTTAGCTCAGGAAGGAGGGCTCCAGAGCAAAGTAATTTATGCAGCAGCCAAATCACTCACTCACAACTTTAATGCCAGGAGCTCACAAAGTAGAATTTTTGCTCACAAGAATCCACAGCTTAGAGGGAGCACTGGTTGCCACCCCCCTGATGGGGGTGGGGGGTTCTCCCTGATTTCGGGCCCCCAAATTGGGTGGTGGGGTGAGCCCTGCCCCTGAAGAGCTCAGCCGTGCCTGATGGGCCCAGTGCAATGACGTCACCCAGAGGTGACATCATTGCACTGGGCACGTTGCGGGGGACCCTCTAGCATTTGGCTAAAAACTCTATGGTAACCCCCCCACATGCCTAGTGTGATGACGTCACTTCCAGGGGATGTCATCGTGGCACGCATGCAAGAAGATCCAGGAGACCAGCCTGGAGCCCCCCGCCGGCAAAAGGTAGGGACCCGGCAACCCTACTGGGACCAGCCTACTTGAAGGACTGTTCTGCAGTACTTTGCAGTACTTTTTAAATTGATGTTTTATATTTTATTGTGAATGTATACTGCTTGTCAGTTCTTCGAAGCCGCCCTGAGCCTGCCTAGCGGGAAGGGCGGGGTAAAAGTGAAACAAAATAAATAAATAAATAAGGACGACTGAGGGGTGACATGATTGAGGTTTACAAGATTATGCATGGGAAAGAGCAGGTAGAGAAAGAGGTACTTTTCTCCCTTTCTCACAATACAAGAACTCGTGGGCACTTCATGCAATTGCTGAGTGGTCGGGTTAGAACGGATAAAGGGAAGTATTTTTTCACCCAAAGAGTGATTAACACATGGAATTCACTGCCACAGGAGGTGGTGGCGGCTCCAAGCATGGACGGCTTCAACTGATGGCACCTGGTATTTCTGGCCACTGTGTGACAGAGTGTTGGACTGGATGGGCCATTGGCCTGATCCAACATTAGCATCTCTTATGTTCTTATGTTCTTATGTTCTTAAGGACCGCTTCTGCTGATATGAACCTGTGCCCCATCTCAGATCCTGTCAGAGTCTCCTCCTAAGGGAGCCCACTAGCACTGCTCTCTGTCCGCTTGGCTCCCTGGGCTTGATCCTTTCTGGCAGTGACTCAGGCTCATTGCTAGGTTTGTCAGAGGAAGTGAGGAAGGCACCTCCTGGGGTCCAATTCCACGCGCAGCATAAGGCTGTTGTTTTCTGGCATTAAGCTGGATGGTGCATCATGTCTGTGGCAGATCACAAGAGCTGCAAGGGTTCTAAATTCTGTGAAGATCTTTATTTCAGCGTCTTGGCTGTCTTGTCATTCCTTCTGAGTCACTGTTTTCAGCAAGGAAGTCAGGATAAAATGTTCCGATCAATCAATCTCGTGGGGATTTCAATGTCGTTGGTCAGTAATAAAAATAACTATATTACATTTCCCTCCCTCCTCAAAGCTCTAAAGGGGCTATCACTTCCAGACAGTAACAGAATAAACTTCATGGAGAAGAGGTTCCAAATATCCCAATACTGCGAGAGCCAGGGGTCATTTCTTGCCGGAGCGCGGCGGAGCGGTGCTCCGGCAGTATAAGGAGCCCGGGGTGCCCCCTGCTGGAGAAGGGAAGGGGGAGGTGGGCAGACATGCCCCCCCTTTCCCCTGAGCCTCTCTGCTTTTGTGGAGAAACTCAGGGAAGGGGGTAGATTTAAATGCCTTTCTTTCCCTTTCCCAAATGGAGAGAAAGGCATTCTAAACATGCCTGGGTTCCCTGCCCTATCTTCACCTTCACCAAAGGGCACCTGGAGAAGATCAGGCAAGGAACTCAGACATGCTTGCATGCATGCCCTTTGTCAGGGGGTGTGGCATATGCAAATGAGCTCCTGCACCTCTTTTTCTAGGAAATGTCCCCTGGCGAGAGCTAAACATGGGTCTCTATTTCAGAGACTGAATATCTCTGAACACCAGGAAGCTGCTTCTGTGCTGTAGCACAGTCACAACCAGAATGGGCCCATGTGCCCTTTAGCAGGCACAGAACACCTCTTGTATATCTGAAACAGAATCCTTATGACAGCCATGGGGACTTTGTATTGTGTAAATCAGCAGTGAGCTTATGCCCTATGAAAGAGCTTTCTAGAACTCAGGGAATTACCTGGGGGGCAGGCAGAGGAATACAGCCTAAGTAGTGTGTAAAACAGTAGGGTCTAGAGTCTCCCCACACCTTTGGCTTCCTTTGCTTTGAGTTTTCTTAGCTCCTGCTCACTTCAGCAAGACCCTACCACTAAGGACACTCTTTGCATAGGAATAATTGACCTCCAGGTTCATTTTTGGTGGATTTAGAACAGCTGGCCAGCAGACGGGAACTGCTGCAGCTTTGCATTATCTGCTGCCTGTTTTTCTTTGAATAGTGCTGTATGTGTTCTTGGTGCACAGTTTAAATCATCCATTTTGCTTGAGCAAACAACTTTGCTTCCAACTTCCTCCCTCAAATGGGATCGAGCCGATCGGTA